GTATATAGACAGCTACGTAGCTTGGGAGCTTAGCTCCTCATCGAATACAACCTCTTGTATACCTCGCGATTGCTCCCCGGAGCGCAGCCCCTTACAGTCTACGTGAAATACAGACCGTTTACTCAAGAGTACTATTGTTTTACTCTACCCGTGCCTAATACCCCTAAAACGTCTCACAACTAGTATATAGTTTACTCGATGTTAATTGTATAATATACCTAGAGTTATTCCTAACTACTATCAGGATACCACCTCCCTAGGGTACAAACCGAGCCGAGCCGGCGCTAACTAACCAGACGCGCGCTTGCGCCTGTTTCACCTGGTTCTGTTGTTCTATTTGCTGCCTTCCTTCATCCTTGCATATCTTACGTCATCGTTAGTTATCCACAACATGACGTGATGATCACCCGGACATGCATAGTAGCAATTCCAGTGTAGAAATGAGGCCAGGCAATGAGGCGGTTAGGTGAGTTACATGAGCCAACTGAACCGCGCTGGGATGATGGTGGTGTTATTGTGATGACGAAAGTGATGCACAACGTTTCTCCACAAGTATGTTTCATGTTCCTGGATTGTCGTACGAGTTCTATAATTATCTCTTCCCCCTATTTACTCGCAATGCTTTTATACAGTAGATTGAACAATTATTCTACTGCTACAGTGGGGAACTCAAAAAGGAGGTAGTACTCTAATGTTTTCTCATGCACCCGAGCAGCACAATGAAGCCGGGATCATCCCATTGCTCGAAACAAGGTCTCTAAAATACAGTGCTTACTATGGGGCTTCAACGAAGAGACAATTTCATTGTAGTAACCAATAAGGGTTTTAAGAAATTAAAATTATTCGTTCGCATGGATAAGAAAAACTATTTACTCGATCATCTCATGGATCATGGATCATGTATTTCTACATTTGTCTCAGAATGGTATGTCGCGAAGATAGGGAATCATTATAATTGTACTCAGTATGTAGAAAAGGGTTATTACTTCCCTCACTATTTTTCACTAGCCATTGAGTCTCCAACTGTAGTTTAGCACAATGTAAGCTGTCGAGGGTAGACTTTGTTTGTAGTATGTCTTGAGATTTTCATGATGCATTTACTCTCCGTATCAAAAGACACCAGAGAATGGGGGTGGCTCAAAACACCAGTAATCACAATGCCTCCTAGCCACTAGTATATTGAGAAATGATTATCAGGCTTATTTATACAAACGTCACAGTTCGATATTTAGCTTCGTAATGGCTTCTCAACGAGCTATTTGGGTATAATAATGATGGTATTCGAAGCGTACATATATACAACTTATCAATGCTCAACTAGCAGTAAACCTGTCATAGATGGTTCATAGATGGTAGCAACCATCCTCGTTCGTTATGTCGGTTGACAAGGACATCATGAGCTAAATCCCTAACCGATCTTTGACTCTTCTCAAGTAATTCGACCCCCCTCTGTTATACTGATTGTGCGAAATCAATCCAATGCCTTAGTCGTCCCTGATTAACTGACTTAAGAAGCGATAGCGCCGCCGGCACCGTGCAACTTGCAGTAGTATTCCCACTCATCACCGCCCATGTGCCAGTCATAGGAGATACAGATGGACATGCCACCCTTGTCTGCCTGTATGGTGTGTTAGTTATACAACTCATTTCCTCTTTGCGTTTCTGTTCCTTACCATCTTGCAATCAGGGCAGGTGTTCCACTGCTCGCTTCCCTTATTTCGCTTGAAGTACGAGTCGCAGGCCTGTTCTGTGGCGGCTTGGTTGTAGGTTGCTGCGCCATTAATCCAGTCGGCACAGATACCGCCGTAGTGGAGGTCTGCTGAAGCAACGTTCAGGATGGCAGCGATGACTGGCAGAGTGATGGAGAACTTCATGATTGCGGATAATTGAAGAGATGATTGTCCTGTGAAGAACTGGGATGGGTAGAGAATAGAAGTATATATGAGAGAGTTATGTGTGTATGGGGTTGGTGATGCTCACGAGTAAAGGGCGAACGTATGGTAAATAAGTAGAAACGCTTGCTATGGTGGATCTCTGGTTCTATCCGCTGTTATCGCTGTGTAGACATGATTCACGACCCCCAGTTCCCCACTGACCATCTCGGTATGATTGTGACCAACACGACCACCCCTGAAAGGGCCGCGAGGCATTACAACGATAATCCTTCCGGGGTACTGCCAAGGACAGCGATCAAGGTCATCCATTAGGACAAAGTTTTTCCGAACTGGTGTCCTAGAGCAGTATTCTGAGTAGGAAACTATGACAGTTGGTAGCCCTTTCATGCACAGAGCACGGAGTGGCTGGCACGCGAGCGTACTTCATGCGCTTCGGGCCGAACGTTAAGCTCGTGTTTGCAAGAGGATCCAATCGGTAGTGTTCGGGAAAATTGTTTGCCTAGATAACTCTAGGCTGTTCCTGCAAGGCGAAACGGTAATTCACCGAGCATGCTCCGCATAGTGACCTGGTCCTTGCATCACAGTAACCCCTGTCACCAAACTCCATCACGAAATGACAGCGTTGGATACTGAGGTCTGTCTGCCTGCACGAATCAGGTTTCCTTGCAGATCAGTGCTCAGACGAGTTAACCGGATTGAATGCTGCTCCCTGTAGTTTTTCACGTCTAAGATAACCATCTCGAGCTCATGATACTATAAAGTTTTGAAGCATCCGGCCCAAATCTAGAGTTCCCATAGAGCATCAACACTCATACTTTCCATCTCTATCCTTCTTCAGCAAGCCAACACATTGGCTATTGACCATCAATCTTCACAATGCATTTCACTCAACTCCTTACCCTCGCAGCCGGCGCCACACTGGCAGCCGCCGCTCCTGCTGCAGTTCCTGATGCTCATCCTGCCCCCTTTGCTGTTGCAGCCGACGACATTGTGCTCCACGGCAACGGTCGCATCCAAGTCATGAAGCGCTCAGAGTTTGAAGAGCGATTCCCCATCAAGGATTTTCCAGTTGGAACGCCAAACCAGTTCGAACCCAACCTCATCACCTACACTGGCGAAGAGCTTGCGAATATGACCAGGCCTCCTTTGTCGAAACGTGACGTCTCCATCGTTCTTCCTGGAAAGACGACCACGTTCACTGGCTGGGATGTCCAAGTCAGCCAGATCGTAAAGGGTGGAATTGGCACAAAGATCACTGTAGCGGCTGGCTACAGTATTAGTAACAGCATTGCAGTTGCTGCGGGCATTGATGTCACCCTTATCGAAGATTTCCTCAAGACATCAATGACTATCACCCAAACATGGCAGACTACCAACAGTCTAACAGCAACCTTCTTCACCGATGTGCCAGAGGGCAAGTACGGTGCCTGGGTCTACCGACCTCTCACCAAGCGCATCACCGGTGGCGTGTGGAGTGGCAAGATGGGAGACACAGGATCTGTGAAGACATGGCAGGCGGACTCGTTCACGACCAAGATGTACCAGGACATGGCCTGGGTCGATGGTTACTTTGCGGCATGCTTCCAGGACACCTTCCCTATGCCCAGGTGCCAGGGAGGAGGTACCCTCTAAATGTCGAGTCTATGCCGATACATAGCTTGCGACACTCACAACGGAGGACTATCTGGATCAATGACTTTTGTTCTACGAAATACGGTATGGGTCTATGAATGTATATAGTTTGTGGCATCAAGGGAAGCCATTTTTAGGATCAATGGAGTTTACTATCACAACACCTTACTTTACTTGAACCTTGGTGACCACTCTTTGGATATCATATGCGATTTTCTTAGAAAGACTTTACTGTGTCACTGAGCCATTGAGGTGCCAGTCCTACATTTACCTACTTGGATTTAACTTTTGTACTTATTCGTGTATTGCCATAGGAAAATAGTTTGCACACCTCTAATCAACGTTGATTACTCCAGGGTTTCAAGAGCGAGATAGGGATTCAGCATTTATCTAGGATAGTATCCCCCTTGGAAGAATAACAACTATACTCAAAATCTCATATGATAGAGAGAGGAATTATGATAAACACAACGGAGCATCTATAGCCAAGGATGGCCAACTATAACTCGACTGTTATTATCAAGGGTTTCACATTATCACGATGAATTATGAGGTCTTCTAGTACTTGGTCGTATTCGAGAAATTGTACACATGGCGTGAAGAGTGCGATGAATCATCAAACTCTCAGCAAACAACAACCTCGGAGTTCTATCTCCCCAATGTCAATGCCATAATCTGTCAGCAGCAGCCTGTTCGAGACTCGGTATAACGGCCAATCTTCCCTACCAAGTCCCCAACCTTCAGATCATACTACCTGCACGCCCCTCCTTCAATTTCATGTACACATCACCCAACGTACGATACCTACACAGGCGCTGCTCGGATACTAGCGGTCGAGATAGGATGGCGCTCAGGCTACCATGACCTGGGGGGGGGGAGGCCGAGCACGGCGATGACAGTAAGGCCTACCCCGTCTGAGCACTCGTATTTCCCCAGCTGCAGTGTCATGCTTGGCCAACCGAGTTATCTACACGGAATATGTCACTCCGGCCACGTAGTTAAGCAGCAAGTAGTAAGTTCACGGTGTTGCCGGGCAGTCGGCCAAGATGCCTAGGAAACAAAAAAAAACGGCCATGTTTTCGTGTGCACCTTGCTGTGGAGAACCATGTCCCCTCAGTGCCTAGCGGGATTATTACGTACGTGATATAGGTGTAGGGAGTGGACGGATGGACATGGTTGCGGTGGCTGAACCCCGGGTACCTGTGTTGTTAAAAAAAAAGCGGACCCGAGGCGTTGGGTTGCCGCAGACACGCATTAGGTCAATCAATCGTGGCGGCGCTTCTTTTTTGATTGCGCAAACGGTCAACAAAGCACGTTGCAGCTAAAATGAGCGGTGATTGGATGAGCATGGGCCAGCGGTGAACGGGAGATAACGATAAGGGTAGAGAACGCAAGGCGGAGTGTTATGCGGAGAACAGACTTCCGCCATGGTGTGTTAGAGAAAGCGCGGGACCAGTTCCCCCCCTTGTCCCCCCTCCCCTTTCGCAAAATCATGGCGGTGGGCAGTCAGCAGGTTCTCAACCCGACCCAAACGGGCCGATGGGATAGCGTAGGCAGGTTGTGCTATGGATAGCTGTCACCAGTTTCAGGTACGACCATCAGGAAGGGGATCCTGGCACCACAGGTCGGCATGTTCGAGAGCCGCTGCAGAAGCCCTACGTGAATAGTGGGCAAGTACACACACACACACACACACACACACACACACACACACACACACTCATTAAACTCGGGTGTTGCCATGCGTTCTAGTGTGCCCGTTGGAAGGTTTGCGGGAATCCCCACCCCCACCCACCGCATTTCATGTACATGCAACTGCGGCAAATTGCGATCACCACAGCTATTTTGCACTTGTTGCGCGTACACCAGGTGCCAAAACGGGTAAAAGTCCAGAAAAGGCAAGAACAAGATCATACCACCGAGATGCAGCGGGAAATCGGAGCAACAGACAGCGTGAGTGGTTTAAACTTCAACGACATGACTAAGTCGTTGCTTGACTTTGACATTTGCACCGTCGTCATTTTTCCTTGTGCTTACTTTCTGTGGGAAGTCCCGCTACTAAGTGGTACTTAGTGTCCTAGGCAGTAATTCTGCCTATAGAACTGGACTTATTATCCGGACCTGCGTTAGCCCTTACGGCCTTAAGGTTGATAAACTGGGCGCGACAACAGTGCGCCCGCCTGACTAGCCCAAGTACGCAACTAGCGTATTTTTCGTCGAAAGTAGGCGTCGGTGTGAATAAGAGCCTCCTCGTATTCAAATTAGCGGGTTTGGAATTTCTTGTATGTCGTCATGTGTCCGTTTCCTTGCTAGGCCTAAATCGTTCATGCTAATAGACGCCCGATAAGAAAAAGGAAGACGACAGAATTATTCACTCAATGCTAGTGATGCTGTGTAGGATGCGAAGGATTTGGAAAAGACTGGGGGTTGGTCTGACATACAGTAGTGTACCCCTTCCTAGGCAAATGGGCAGCACACGACTGCCCGACCCTTGCCTTTTTTCAAAAACACGACGTGCCATGTCTAGCTCATGGCGGCTCTTCAGTTGATTGACAGTTTCTGCCTTATCAGTTGCCATCACATACTGTATCATGATTAGGGTTGCGCGTAACTCGCCGAGTATTACCAGAGTTCTTCTTGTTTTTTTTACCATCTGCATCGTATCATTCAATGTAACGCAGCACCCGAATTTGCGTATTTCTTTCCATATTTCTTTCCATATTTGAATTCCCAATGACTATTCAGTGCTAGTGATGTATTCGCACCCCGAAGCAAGCCGTGTCTTATCGGCCCCTTTCTCTACACTACCCACTCATACGTACAAAGTGTCAATCCAAGGTTTGAGCGCACCGAGCCCGATGATAACAGCCTCCTCTGTCCGGATGGTCCTGCTGCCCTGTCGTGGCACCAAGTTTACCCACGCGTCGAACAGCTGGTGTGCTGTAGATTTGTCTAGCCCTTTACTAGTCAATTCCGGGTCACTGGCGACTGCTGGTTCTATGCCCGCTTGACCGCCGAATACGATGAGTAGGTGGTTGAAGGATTCTGGAGCCCCAGAGACTGTGGAGCTGGACATGCCACCCGGGGAAACTCCACCAGTTGAGAGAAACGAATACACCGACTGTCCGCGCTCGGAGGTACCAATGGACATGTCATAGCCACCAGGGTATTCGCACTCGGAGAAGACTGCGCCGAGCGAGGCAGCGCGTCGAACATTGTAGCCCCAATAGTATCCGCCTTCCTCACGTGGTAGACTGGCAGCACACGCTGTGGCTTCTAGACTGTCACAGTCTTGTTGTGAGAGATTGGGCCAGCCCTTCGGCGCTTCTTGATTAGCAAACCTTACAGTGGTGCGCATTCCTTGCTCCACGGGCGCCTCTTTGGGTATGGGTACGCGAATTGGATAAGGTAGACCGCACTTGACGTATGCGTAGTCTTCTCGTGCTACCTTCTTTGACTTGCTGCCGCCTGGGGGCGGTGCAGAGCCTACAAAGACACCCTCACGGTACTGACACCACTCGTGGCTTCTTAAATGATGGGGCATGTCCATGCTGGGGAGATTACCCACCCACTTGAGGTTTTGATGTTCCTTGAAGATGCTCAATCGCGGATCCTCGCGGTCATACCTCAGATGTGGAGGGCATTCTGCAAAAGCCAACAAATGGTACAGGAACTGGTCAGGATTCTGCCATGCTTCATCTTGTTCGGAGATGGAATCTAGAACCTGCTGTTTCGTGCGACCTTTGCGAATATACTTTTGATCGATGACGTTGTGGTCAATGTTACTTGGGTCGTCGTCATAAACCACGATTTCGTCGACACAGTATATGGCTGCTGCGCGTGCAATGCGCCCAACCTGAATGGTTTTGTGATCGGGCTTCTTTGCATTCAGAGTCCAGCTTCCAGGAAGAGCAATTGTCACCGTCCAGTTGCGGCCTTTAGTAGGATTGAAGACGGCAGTCGGTCTTGACGTGTCGATATCTTCAACACTCTGTTCTTGGACATCACCCTTTCTTTTCTTCATAGGGCTGCCCTTATCACCGGGCGTCTTTCGCTTCTGCCATTACGTCAGTCTCAACTTAAGAAGACCGAAGCAACCTTTACAATACCTTTCCATTTTCTTTCTCCTTAGATTTTGCATTTTTCGAGCGCGACTTGCTATCGACCACAATCATATCGTGGTCGTTGCTCATACTGGCGCTACTTGATGGATTGCTGTTTCTGCTACTTACTTCTCTAGAAGTTTGACTAGTGATAGTTTTTGAGGTAATGCTCGTTCTGCTGGGCGTGTAATGGTATATGCAAGTCAAAAGTTGGAGAATGAAAACAGAAGAAGCTGTCCGGTCCTGCATTAGCGCGATCCGCGCCGATCCACCCGCCACACCCATGTTCAACCTTGAGGCACCCTGCCGCTCTAGGCAACGAACGTCGCCTTTACCTTACCACTGTTTCTCTCTCTCTCTATTACACCAACACAGATATACACTACGTCTCTCTCTCACCTCTAGCGAATATGGAAAGCCCAAAGTACGCTTGTAACCTCTGATAGCGCCACCGCTCTACTAACCAACCGTCTAGGTCCTTCTTGTCGCGCACAACCAACACGCTCATCGTCTTCTTCGCCCTGTACTTTACCACCCTCTTCTCCTTCGACACCTGGGCTGCTGCACGAGGATCGCCATTTCGCGCGCCGGGTAGCACCTCGTATAATCGGCCTGCGCCCGTGGCCCCATCGCGACAAAGCTACCAGGGCGGCATGCATGGCCGAGGGAATGCGGGGCCTGGAAGTGGCAGCGGTGGTGGCAGCCGAAGGGTGGCACAGGTGAAGGATTCAAGACCGCCCATCAAAATGGGAGGTTCAGCTGCTTGCGGTGCTTGCTTGATTTAATGGTGAACATGTATGATTACGTGAACAGAAGTAGAGTATGAGCATTCATCATGTCGTAGGTGATATTGGTTTGAGTTGTACCAAGATTGGCAGTAAACTTTCATTGCTCCCTTTCGCGCCATGCTACTCAGTGATGCTGACGAAATAAACTATCTCATGCGCCCCTCCTTACATTTGTGCTCATAAGTGTAATCTTCTTGCCCTTCTTCTTCTTACCACCACCCCCCTTCTTGGGCGCTTCTTCGCCCTCAGCCAACGACATGGCCTGGGCCTGGGCAATCATCTCCTCCTCCCCAAGCAAATCCTTCTCCCAGCCTTGCAGCCACCCATCGTCACCATCAGCGTGGTCGTGTGGGGCCAGCACGGGAGATGTCCCCGCAACGACTGCAGTGCCCCACACGGTTCGAGGAGCCGATGGACTGGTAGAAGGAGAGGCCAATGAAGCGAAGCCATCACCACGTCGTGCTGGCCAGGGCGGTGATGTCGAAGTATGGTCACCGTCTACAGTGGGCTGTGCGTCTGTTGCACTTCCAGATGCTAAAGGCTGAAAGTCGTCCGCAGAAAATCTCTCCGTGATGCTTGGCCGTCTTCTGCGTGCTGACGTGAACTCGGCATACTCGGCCTTCTCTGCGCGTTGCCGCGCCTTCTCCTCCTTTGTCTCCTTCTCGGTATGCTTCTTACGTCGCCTCTCGATTTCCGGTCGGAATCGTTCCAGAATCTCAGGGGCAACAGTATCCGTCCAGTCGCACTCGAGGAACCCAACCTCGCAGCCATATGGCAAATGTGCTAGATATTTTGTACGTTTCCGTAGTTCATCGTCTACAACATGACCAGTGGAGACGTGCTCCACTCGTGGCAGAATTGTTGACGGGAAAGAAGCAAAATTACCAAAGGCAGCCTTTAAAATGCGAATATCTAATGGCGACAGATAATAATGAAGTAGCGCTTGATAGAAGAAATACTCAGAGGGAGTTTTGTGGTGCTCATGGTGTTGTCGGTTGCGCAGCTCAGCGAGAGTCAAAGACATGCTATGGCTGGTAGCAGACGAATGTGACGAAACAGACATGGCCCGATCTTTGGTACTCGAAGATTCGGGCGCGGGCTGCGGTGGCGTGTAATCCTGGCCAGACTTGGAAGCGTTCTGGATATGATACATGTCTGGTGCGGCTCCCTCGTCATCAAAGACGATTGGAGCTCTTTTTGTCTTAGGTTCTGTAGGCTTGACAGGCTCGTCAGGAGGGTTTCCAATGCCCTTGAATTTCTCCTTGAGCTCTCGAATGTTTCGTATTGCCTTCTTTGTCCACTCCATGCTGTCTTCGGCAAACATGACCTCGTCCTCTTTGCCCTGCCGCTCGAGTTTGACAATCTCCTGATCCAGCTGTTTGAGCATGTAGTCCTCTCCACCTCGCATGACACGAGCGTAGTCTGTTACCTCTGCCGCATGGTACCAGGGTATATCTTGGTCCTTGGGCAGAGCATCGGCGCCGTCGCGGGGCATAGCCAATGTACTTCCGGCTGATCTCACCACCAAGCGCAGGACAACGTCGCCCCCCTCTCGTGGAGCCTCGCTTTCTTGGCCAGTGTACCAGCGAACAGGTCGTGTTTCCGAGGCATAGATGGTGTCGAAGCATAGTGGGCATTTTTTAGATCGCGCCCTCTTCTCTGGTGCTTTCCCGTCGTCTTCAGAGTGCATGTAGCGGATGAGACAGGGGAGACAGAAGATGTGACCGCACCTGGCCATCCTCGGGGCTACTGGCATCCCGAGGCAGATGGGACAAGACGCTTCTTGGGAGATTTCAGATGCCAATATTTGCAGGACATTATTCCAGTCCAGGTGGATATCGGCATCAACGCTCTGAGCGCGATAGTCGCCGCGCGGATCGACGATGAAGCGGTAGTTGGCGTGCACATATCTTGGGCGGGTTAGCTGAGGCAGATGGGGATAAGAAGAGCACTTACCGGGCTTTGTCGACGGCATGGTAGCCAGATCCGAGGCCCCATGTGGGATTGCGCCGATAGTTCCTTCCGTAGCCGTGCGACTGGTTGTGGTTGGACGGGCGTGGGGGAAGGCTAAAGTTCATGAGGTGGGTAATGGACGTCTGGCCCTTCCTGTTGCTGAAGGGGCGCATGGCGAGTGATTCAGCAATGGCATCCTCATCCGTCTGGCGGAAGCGCTTGGAGCCCTTGTGCTGCTTCTTCTGCTGCTGGCTGTTGCGAGGCGTGGGCGAGGATCGCGCCGAGGTTCCGCTGCCCCGCGGCTGCGCAAAGAAGCTACTGGTGCTGATGGAGGGGGCCTGGTTCTGGGCGGGAGAGACAGGGCCAGTGGATGCAGAGGCCTTGGACGAGGACGGGGCGGGAGGGTTGCTAGACATGACTCCCAGCTAAGGGCTCACGATAGCGCGACGGCACCAGCACCAGCGACGACGACCAAGACGACGACGATGACGTTGATGAAGGACCGGGGAAAAAATGAAGGACCGAAGATGGGAGGGAACGAGAGAATAGTGGGGATAGCGGGTGGTGGACGTATATTTCTGGATGGGTTGCGAAAAGTCGGGGTCCCCAAGAGGGTGCGTGGTCGGGGACAAGAGGCAGAAGGTGGAGTGGCGGATGGCGACAACCTGGGTTGATGACGCCGGGGGCCGTCACGTTATCAGCCGGCCACTTACCTTTGCATCGTGGAGCTGCAGCAGCAGACGGGCAGCCATTGACTGTTTCGTCCCGTGGCACTCTGCGTCTGTCTCAACATTTAGGGTGCACGTATCCTGTCACATTCGATTGAAAACTGCCGTCATCTGGTGCCATTGGCCTTGTTGGCCTGTGTGCTTCTCCTCTCGACCATCCCTCTCTCTCTGCCCAGGGTCTCCGGCCTCCGCACAGACTGCAACGCCCTTCTGCAGAGCGACTCTTTGACTCGGTTCGAGCTTCTTCCATTGCCGCCAGGCCCAACACCACGCCGCCGCCGCTCTCTCCATCCATCCCAGCCTCTCTCCCTCTTTGTCGCGGGCAGCCTCTGCTGCGCTCATGTCGTCCTGATACGATGACCCCGCGATCGTCGACGAACCCATCCGCACCGCACCCTTCGCCTACGCCAGTCGCGCGACGCCGCTCCGCATCCGAATAAATATCCTCCACCACCCTGCGCGCCTTGCCCGCACCCGCTCCCGCTTCCCCATCGCCTTCGCCCCCGCCAACATCTCCCGCCCCGTTGCCTCACAAGTTGGCCGCTTGCTCCCTAGCCGGCGCCGACTGTCGAGGCAACACCGCGCCCAGCCCTCATGATGCCCGGTCCTTATATGCCTGGGAGGAGGCAGGCCGAGCAGCAGTACTACCACCACCACATCCCCCCACAGACACACTCGCCCGTCCACCATAACCCCTATGCCGCGCCCTACCACCACCTTCAGCAGTATGGCCCGCCTCATGGCTATCCCCAGCACATGCAGCCTATGCAGCAATGGTACCCCTACCAGCAACCCCCGCCGCCGCCTCAATATGCCATGCCTCCGCGCCAGTTCCAGCCTCAGCCGCATGCCTCGCCCGTTGTAGTCTCGTCACATCTGCACATGGTCCCGCCAGTCAACCGTGCCATGGGCCAGACGCCTCCCATTGTCCATTCGCGCACCCCGCCTGTCCCCCGCATTCCTACCCCCCAGCAGGCTCCCTCGACTCCCTCGGTGCAGCCCCACGTATATATGCCGTCTTCTTCGACACCCCAGCCAACTCCCACTGTCGACAGCCCGCCGCCCGCTGTTGAGTCAAAGCCCACGCCACCAGCCCCGTCCACCCCACAATCCATCACGTTTAAGCCCTTCTATCCGCCTCTGCCCTGGCTCTCTGTGCCAGAATCAGACTTTCCAGTGCGCGCATCGCGCGGAAAGAGACGGCGAAGGGCCCCGGTATCCACAGAGGAGCAATCTTTGGCTTTGCCCTCACGCGACCAGGCTAGCGAGGAGGATGCCTCGAACGAAATTGAGGAAGACACAGAAGGTGACAGGACTCCCACGGAAGAACCAGAGGAATCTCAGGCATCCACAATTGCGGGTCCATCTGATGCTGAAGTCGACACCCCCTCCACCTCACACCCACCTTCAGAAGTCGATCTAGCTCAGTCTGCAACCCCATCTACTGCTACGCCATCAGGTTCACAACAGGCTGCCCCTGTCACGGCTGCTGCCAAAAAGCATGCCCGCAACCCTACCATACCTGCCGTACCCCGTGTCCCGATCAAGCCCGCAAAGGCGTCCAGTGCAGCTTCTACCACGCAGCAGTCCATCAAGTCGCCAGCTGCGGCTCAACCAGAGTTGTCGCAAATCGACGATGCTGCAACAACGACGACTGAGGAAGCCGCGCCTAATGCTGAAGAAAAGCCCAAGCCAGCTGCGCCAAAATCGTGGGCAGAGTTGTTGAGGGCAAAGAATGCTACCAAAGCAGCCCAGCCTGTTGCACCACCAGCCGCCACCCCTGCGCCAGTTACCAATGGACCTGTTGTGCAAAAAAGCAACACTCTCGCAGATGTCTTGGCATCCTTCTCAGTCGATTCGGAAAAGAAGGTCTCTTTCATTGAACCGCGTGGTCTCGTCAACTCGGGCAATCTTTGTTACATGAACTCGGTATGTCTTGATTGCTTGCCATTTTATGAACTGCCCTAACCTGAGAGTAGATTCTTCAAGTCCTTCTTTTCTGCGTCCCGTTCTACGATTTCCTCGACCAAGTCGCCAAACGTGCTGTGCATAGTTTCAAGTCTGAGACCCCTCTCATAGATGCTATGATTATGTTCCTGCGAGACTTCAAGCTCATTGACTCTGCGGCTACTGTTGAACAACTACGTCTACGACTGAAAAGCAACGACATTGAGCAGTACGGCGATCCTTTGGCTCCGGAATATGTATACGACGTCATCAAGCGCCTGCCCCGCTTCGATAACATGAAGAGAGGCCAGCAGGAAGACGCGGAAGAGTTCTTGGGTTTCCTACTTGCTGGATTGCATGACGAGTGTGTCCAAATAATTAAGAGCGGAAAGCAGATTCAGCCTGCAGGCACAGTCACATCAGAAAACAGTGAACAAACAGGCTCCGTGGATGGTGGCTGGGAGGAGGTCGGCCACAAGCAAAAGACAGCCGTCACTCAAAATTCTGGGGCTATTGACATTGAGAGCCCCATCACCAAGATATTCGGTGGCAAACTTCGCTCTGAGTACAAGAGGCCGGGCGAGAAAGCTTCAGTCACGCTTGAGCCCTACCAGCCGCTCCAACTCGACATTGGCGAACCAAACATTAACAACATTTCTGATGCTCTCAAAAACCTTACACGTCTAGAAACACTAGACGGCGCCGCTCGCGGTGCCAAAGCATCGACGAAACAAGTACACATCGAGTCGCTACCGCCAGTGTTGATCCTTCACCTGAAGCGTTTCCACTACGATGAAAAAGGGCCCCAGAAGATTTGGAAGAAGATTGGCTACCCGCTCGAGCTGGAATTACCCAAGGAGGTGTTCCCGCCACACAAGCGAGGAAGCTACCAGATCCAAGGCGGCTTCCCTCGGTACAGACTTACCGGTGTTGTCTACCACCATGGTAAGAATGCTAGCGGCGGCCATTACACTGTCGATCTTCGACGCCAAGAAGGAAAGGAGTGGATTCGCATGGATGACACCATCATCCGTCGCATCCGCGCCGAGGAAGTGGCCGAGGGTGGCGCAGAAGAAGACCCCAAGGTCTTAGCTGCTGCCCTCGAGCAGCACAAGTCCGACGCTGGGAAGAGCAAGAACTTCTTTGCCCAGATCGACATGGACGAGGAGGAGCCTGACAAAGGCGGATGGAACCAGGTGAATGGATCTGAGAAGCAGAAGGATGGCAACAAGAAGTGGAGTGGTATTGTTAACGGCGCAGCAACACCTAGTTCCGCAGGCAAGAGGACACCGCTGCTTAAAGAAAACGTGCGCGACAACAAGGTGGCGTATATCTTGTTCTACCAGCGCATCGAAACCTGAGACCAAGGAGGAACTTTGTTATGCGCGCGGGGAGGAAAAATAGTTCAACACGATATGATTTCAAGAAAGCCATCTTGTAATGACATTGAGAGAAAAAAATTAAAAATTAATAGAGGACGCAAGAAGATGAAGACGAAGATGAAGAATGACGAGGAAGTAGGGGGAGGAAAAGGAGGAAAAGGAAAAGGAAAAGGGAGTGGAAGGAAGCCAGGCGTGGATGATCATGACTCGGGTTATGAAAAGCCACGACTACCAGCATTGCCTTGGTGCGATGTACAAAAGAGAAGGGAGGGGAAAAAGTATTTCGTGTCGGTTGATACCCGTGTGGGTGTTGGGATAGCACGAATGATGACGATAAAACTTCATGCTTGCTTGTTGTGGTGCGTGTGTGTGTGTGCATATTTTATGCATGTTGAATGTGATGATGTTTGTGTGATTTGATCCACTGTTACATGTTACTCGAACCATTCTAATGTTGATCGATTGTAGTATGTATGTCAAGAATTCTTAAAAAGGTAAAGAATACCAGAATCCGTTGAGTATAGTAATTTCCCAAATGGATTTCCAAGTCTTCTCGCCGTACTACTAGTACTAGTCAATTTGGCCACTTTGGCTCAAATACTTGCCAGTTACTCTCTATTTATCTCTCTCTCTCTTCGTACCTTTTTCTCCCATTCATCCGTGGCGTAATGAGTTTCCCGGGTCACCAAGAAAACCAAGGTGAATAGCGTTTCCTTGCGAAAGCTTTTGAGTCCATTGCCGCTTGTGTTACCCAAAATGTCCATTCATCGACTTTGTTTTATTTATTTTTTCTTTTTTTTCTTCACACAAGTACTGCCCTCTCTGCATATGATATATGTATTCAGTTGTAGGAGACTGCAAGAGAAGTGCCAAGTTCAAGACTTTGATGACGAAATTCTATCTTGTTCGTGTCTTTCTTTATCTGGACAATGTAAGGCTTGGAGAAGACGGTCGATATGGACAACGGTTAGGGATGGATAACACTGCTTTTGCGCCCAATATCTGTCGTTTTTGTACGTTAGCAATGTATCACCGGATTTAAAAAAAAAGACTGCATGTTTGTTGTTGCTTGATGTGGGTGGAGAAAAATAACAGTACCTCTTGCATCAATGATGAGAATGGAGCTAATTCTGATACCTCTTGTAGTATCTCCTCAGCCTGCTTCTCTGGCGAAAACCTGGATGGAATTCGGAGCCTTGGGCTGTGTGTTAACTCTCTATTGGTATATGGGACGGCTGGCTCATCTGGATCTGGTGTTATGGTCATGCCATCAAGATCGATTACCGGCGTTGTGGATTGATTGATCACGGTCGAGTCATTGGCGGAAGGTGATGGCTGAAAGAAGTCTGGCTGGTCAGGGGATTCCGGCTGGTCAAACGACTTGTGCTCATCTTCAGAGCTTGTGCGGTCGATAGAAGTTGACTGGTTTACATCAGGGAGTGGTGACGGTTGCGGGTCACGATCAATAGAAGTAGTAGGTGGCTCAGGCAGATTGGGGCCTACCACGTCGTATGAGCGGTCGTATCGAACTATTCAAAGGTGAGGGATAGAGACATGCATACCGACTGCTTTTGCCGTTGGCGAATGGTTTGCGTGTTCGGTGACAGGGCCAAGTTTGGCTGGTAGGATGTCTTGCGAAACCGCATTGAAGCCAACAACGCTCTTCACGCTCTCAATGATGTGCTTGAGCCGCTCATTCTCTGCTCGCAAGGTATCAATTTCGGACAATAGAGTAGCTGTTTTGTCATTACGATCCTTGTTCTGTAATATCTCTATTGTGCGCTCAAGCTTAGCAATGTGTATCTTGGTCTTCTCTCGAAGGGACCTTTGAGCCTGGCGGTCAACGGCGCGTTTTCTCTCTCGACGTTCCTGTTCAGATGCGGGCCTCTTTCGCTTCTGTGTAATACATATCTGGGTTGGAACAGCGTCTTTTGGCTCAGGGTCTACCATGACAGTGGTATTGTAGTATGGAGATAATATAACGTAGTAGTCTCAATCACGTCACGTAGCGGCGATAAGGGTCCAAAAGTATGGAGCAAATGCACAAGTGGTTGAATTGTTAGCAGTCAGCCTCCGGTGCAGCCGACCCTAGTTTGGTCGGCCGAGGCACTCAAATGCTCCTGGTAACTCCCCAAAGTGCTCTATTAGCCCTATTCGTCAGTTTGGATGCGGGGATGATTGTCGCCCTGCTTTTAGCAAGTGGATCTTCCAGCTATTTTGAGCATAGTGCAGTTGTCGTGCAGGGCTTGCCGGTCATATGTACATATATGTGTATTGCTGACACGGAGATGGGCGCAGCACGTTAATGAACGGTACTCATAGACGACCGAGAATCTGATGTACTATTCCATTGTCTCCTGGATGAATTGGTAAAGTAGTCTCCATAGAAGAAGATCACAGCATCTGTGCCATTTAAGTAAGCCGTGAAAGCCTTTTGTCCTTTTTTTTTTACTTAATTTATAGAACTACACAATTTTGTATGAACAGATTACTACAGCTTGGAAGGTTGCCAATTTGGTTTCCGCTTTTCGGCAAAAGCCCGTAGTCCTTCAAGAGCATTCTCGCCAGAGTTGAGTCCATGGTTGTATTGTTCAAGTACCAGTTGAGTGGCTCGCTCCACGCTCCCAGTTTCCCAGGCCTCTCTCAAAGCTGCTCTGGTGACAATGGCCGAGTCTGGTGAGATTGCAGCAATCTCACTTGCTAGCTTGAGTGCCTCTTGTACAACCGTTTCTTTGGAGGGGGATATGCGGTTGACGAGGTTGAGCTCTTTGGCCCTTTGCGCGGTAATGGGTTTTCCTGTGAGTGCCATTTCGGATGCGATAGGCAGGCCGACATTACGGACGAGTCGTGGAGGGCCTCCTGCACCAGCGAAAATGCCACGGAGAGCTTCTGGGAGACCAAATGTGGCATGTGGTGCTGCTACCACCAAGTCGCTGCACAGTAATTAATGTCTGATTGTGTGTGGAATACATGTCGGTGCCAAAAAAAAGATGTGGAACGTACCAGCCCAATACAATCTCGAAGCCGCCTCCGAGCGCGAATCCATTGACGGCTGCAATGACGGGCTTCTTGCCCATGCGCCGACTTAGCCCACCGAAGCCACTAAGAGGGTGTCTCAGGAGGCCTGGGGTGGCTTTGAGCTGTCCGCTCCGGATCTTTCCTAGCTGTATCAGGTCCTGTCCCGCACAGAAGCTCTTTGTGCCGGCCCCAGTAACGATGGCGACGCGCAGATTAGGCTCGTGGTCGAACCAGTCAAAGACCTCGCCCATTTCGAGATGTCCCTCGAATGGGATGCTATTCATCTGCTTTTCTCTATTGATGGTGACGAGGAGGACATGGTCGGCAGGATAGGATAGAAGGACGTGCGAGGTGGAAGGCGGCGTGGTTTGGGGCTTGACCGACGACATGTTGGCGGTGTTGGTCGAAAGGCTAGTGGACGACTTGAGGTGAGGTGAAGAGGCGAGACAGGTGGTGGGCCTGTGCAATGCTAGGCGGAGGTTACATGGGGGGTGGAGTATTGCCGGGAGTAAAGTATGGTAGGATGAGGGTGAGTTTGTAAGGGCGCGCGTTGAACCGAGGCATGTTTCCCCGCACAGCTAGCCGGCGAGTGTATCAGTGCCATGGCCGTCAGCGGCGCGGGTGGTGACGAACCATACATATATGTGGTCTACATTCTCATGACAATTTGGATTCAAGCAGGCTATTCGCAATAGTAGAAATAGTAGTAGTAGTACAAGGTGGTTTTCCTAGTTGCTCAAAACGACACGTGACCAGCAGCAAGCGCGTTTTATTGTCCTCTAGCCTCGTTGCGGACGCGGGCCCGGGTGGTGCGGGTGGCCCAGCAGCGGGTTCACCGACAGAGCAGAACACACGCCCCATGCAAACACTGCGATGACAAGAAGCAGACCAACCAGATAGGGCACTGTCCGACGAGCGGGTATCAAACGGCCATGGCCCTTGATGAAGGGTGGATAGATGTAGTAGCGTCGGCCAGGAGCAAAGGGATGTTGCATGGTGCTGGCCGGACTGACCTCGATGGCCGAGTCGCGAGAAGAGGCGGCGACATCGATGGAGCCATAGAGGGCGTGTCGGATGGACGAAGTGGGTACTTGTGCGGTGAAGGGGCTAGTCTGGGGAGTGGGTGTTAGCCAGCTTCATGGGGGGAGGGAGAGTGGACCATGTCCAGGACGCGAATAGAGTACAAACCTCTTCTGCCATGGTATCGCATCGTCCGCAGCTGCGTGTCTGCAGATGGGAGCAGAGGTGAGCTCCGACAAATTGGCCCAAAGAGGCCAAAACAAAGCCAAGCACGCCTACGCCTGCTGACGGACGGACCGTGTGTGGGAGATGGCGCGTGTCTGCAGCTCAGCCTCGTCGCCGCCGCCGCCGCCGCCGCTGCTGCTGCTGCTGCTGCTGCGTGGTGTATCCCTGGAGTATGGCCGAGACGGAGCTACGAAGAGTATGCGGTAGCAGGATGGGCGGCAGTATTCTTTTCCCTAGACGTACTATTAGGTATTTATTTAATACTCCGAGTGCGTTGGCTGCTCGATTCACGCCATGCATAGCGCCACCTACCCAAGCCAGGATAAAGCAGATTACCGAGCGGTGTTTAGTGTTGCGATGCTCCCCACAGAGGGTCCTTTTCCACCCCCGGTGCCCCCCCAGTGTCCCCAGTGCCCCCAGTGCCCCCTCCCATGCGTCTGAACTGATTGGGTAAAGGATGCTGGCACCGTTTAGCCTGCACAGAGTCGGGCAGCGTGCAGGTTTAGTCGTGTAATGTAGTGTAGTATATTGTAGTGTACAAAGGTACTCGTGCCCACTCATGGATGGATTTCGGGGATTGCAATGCCGGGCCTGCGTCCCACAGCGCCTCTCGCCCTCTAGCCATGACGGTAATAAAATAAGTAAGCCATGTGTCGTGGTGGCCCGGTAGGTTGAGTAGCGCGTGGTGGGGCACTGCACTGCTGCAACTCGTGCGGCCGACGCAGCAAATGTGCAAAAACGAAGAACAAGACATACTACTTACTACATATATTTGCATCATCAACCCTCCAACCACGCCGCACCCCTTCACTCAACTCCCGCCCCCCGCTCCTCTTCCTTCCTTTTCCTGTCGGACATCTCTCTCGCCTCACCCCCATGCCTGTGTAACCAAACGGGCTCGAGCTGGGCTACACAGCGCCTCTTGCCCATTTACTTGTGCCTGCCCGCTCGCCCTCGACCTGCTCACCTGTTTCATCTCCCTCTACCCTCCCATCCCAGCCCCCAGCCCCTTTGGGCTCCTTGGGCTACCACTGAGAATCACTACCATCTTGCCCAAGCAGAAGAAAAAAAAACCCCGAAGCGCCCCGTCCACCTGCTCTCGTTTGGTGCCGCATTCAACCCTTGACTTTTACCGCGACCATGGCTGCTGCTACTACTACTACCAAAGCCCAAAATAGCGCCCAGCCACATCTGCCCAGCATTAGCATCGCTCCACCCCCCATGGAACCTCCACTCCCTCCCCTCAACTCACAAGACCCAGAAAACTACTTGAAGCGATGCTCGGGCTATTGCAAAAAGACAAACTTGCGCTGCAGCGCCAGCATCGGCAAAAAGGCTCAAAAGGACACGCGTCCTACATACCTTCCCACATGCGCTCTCCACCGCGATCAACAAAGCCTTGCCGGGTGGTGTCAGTTCACCAGCTCGGATGGCCGTAGGTGTGCAAGGCTGTTCCGATGGAACCCCCCGCACTTTGAACTTTGCAACGATCATCAAGGCCATCCTAGCACACCCTGTTATTTCCTAAAACAGTTACCGCTCGAGCTTCGCCATGAAGTATACCGATATCTCATACCCACCGAGCCCATCGATTCTTCCACTGCGGCTGTCCACGACCGCTCCAGCCAGGAACCTGACCAACGAGCAAGTCGCTTACCCGTCCTGAGTTACCCGAGCCCCATGCGCGCAACACGCGTGCTCAGGTCAAAGTTTCCAATGAGACTCTTGGACCTTCTCAGCGTCTCACGCCAAGTCCACGACGAAGTAAAAGACCGCCTGTTCAGCACAGTCACTTTCAAAATCGACATCCGCAAAGACGGCACATTCATGTGTGGACGCCGCCTGCTCGAGCCCAAACGAGCAGACGGCTCTTCGCATTTCTTGTTCGATGAGGCCGACCATGCAAAGAGGAAATTCCTCAAATGTTTTGACTGGGCTTCCGCCAAAAACTACGCCGTTGACATATTACTCGAGAATTGCCCTATCGCAAACCCACAACATGTACCCAGCACAGCCAACATGACTATGAGATCTCGCTGGGATGAAGAGGTGGAGATTTACGACATCAGAGGTCAGTCCATCGTTCCATGCTGCAGTGCCGCTTCTTACATCTCCAGATTACATCTCTGTAGTTGTCTCTGGTATCCTGGCAAAGGCAAAGAATCTCTACAAGCTCCAGGTCCGACTTTGCCTAGCCGACTTTGGTTGGCATGAAGAGCAAACCCTCTCCAATTCAAAGCTACTTTTCAGCCCGTTTGAACGACTACGAAATGTACGCCAACCTACTCTTGGTGGCGTCTTCACTGGGAGGCCCAACAGCAATTCCATGTATCCCATCGAGCGCACAACTGGCCGGTATCCCATTGCACCTGGAACCGGATGTGTACAATCAGCACTACCCGCCTACTATGAACTGTGCTCCGTGCCATCTTTACCCACCGACAACCCAGTATTGTTACCCGGCATACCAGGATTTGACGCCTATGCCGCTGAATGGAGGCGCCAGATCTCTTCCAAGGGCATTGCCAATGTTTTACAAGAGCCACTCATCCGCAAAATGTTTACCGAGTTTCGCAACTTCTATACTGAATTCGCTAACCATGTACCTGATATAACTTTGAAAAGCGGAAGGCACACATTCCTGCACCGAGCTAGGGTAGCACGTGAGCAAGAAGATGTCATAGCGTTCAGAGCCATCAGGGCAGAACTCCTGGATTATTGGACCAAACACTTGGATGACCAAGAGCGGAAAAAACGTACCATGGAAACACGCATTGCCAAATTCCTTGAAAGCGACACGTATCCATCACATGTCTGGGAAGAGCCAATTCCCGCACACTCACCAGACCCGTTGCCCACTCAAATCCTAAGATCTCCTGTCGCCTTGGACACTGAGATCATAGCCAGAGATGGCATACCCATGACGGGTAATATGATACGACGTAGCTGCCCCCCACCACCCTACCGGCAGATGAACCAGCAGCCAGGACAGCATAATCCTTTTGTCAATTCAAGGCTAATAAACCAGACGACGGAACAATATGCTTCGATGAAACGGCGACAGCTTCAACAAAGGTTCCTACAACAGCAAGCTCTGCAACAGCAGCTGATCAGGCACCAAATGCAGCTGGCACAATTGGAACAAGAAGAGCAGTACTCGCCTGTTGACGTCATGAACCAGCAACGAGACTATTTGCTCAAGAGGAAAGCTGCAAATGAGATGAATGAGATATATCGACAGGCAAACTTTGGAAGTCAACAAGATGATGATGAAACAAGTTTGCCGAGAAGAAATTCAGATTCTTCGCATTCGTCGGAGGACGCCATACCTCATACTACGCCCTCATACAACAAATCAAACGCCACTAAGGGTTCCGGCGTTTACATTGAATTTCCTCAAACAAGTCAGCAGACAAATAATATCGAGTCATTTTCATCAATAGTTAGAGACAGAGAGCCCGGTCCATCTACCAAAAGATGCCGCACTGATTCTGGGTACGATAGTCAGCATAGATCCTTGCCCACTGAAGACAACATAGAAGGGGTAGAGCGCCAGGGTCAAGCCAGGGCAACATGGAGTGTCTCAAATTTTGGGTATGATGCTGATGCCATGCAACAATCATTCACTGGCAAAGGAAAGGAGAGATTATGAAGTGTACTGAGACGGACGCACCTACCTGGACTGTGTTAGAAAAGAAGAACAATCTTGCTGCGCAACTGGCGAATTGTGTATTTTGGTTAAAAGGACATGATCGATAGCCAAAAAAGGAGACTAGATCACCAAGCCTTTGGTCTTAGCCACTACCGGCGTGCAATGTGATGATGAAATCAGAGAAACAAATGTCACACGCCAGTCGATGACGTAAGGCAACAGCGAATAAATCTAAATGGGTGAAAAGACCAAAAGGTGACAGCTCGCTTTGGTGTGTTCTCCGCTTTCTCCGCTCAACCTCGAAACTGTACTTTACCTTACTAACTCCGCGTCCCTCGGACCCATGGCCCATCCATTCATCAAACAGTCATGTCCGTTCAGCGACGCCAGAAGCGTTCCCCTATTAGTTGTGAGCTATGTCGCATTCGAAAGATTCGCTGCAGTCGACTGCGGGGCCCTCCGCCCTGCGAAACGTGCGTGCGCAGGCAGCTTGCATCAGACTGTCACTATGTCCAGTCCCATCACATTTCAATACCCATCTTTCGTAACGCACCGCCATCGCCAGTGTCTGAGCAGTCGACACCAACAATGGCAGCAACCATCCGATCGAACGAAGACCTGGCTGCACGTGTAGCCAACCTAGAAGCGCTCATACAAGCGCAAGATGCAAATGCGCATTCGTCTTCTGCAGATACGATTCTGCCTTTAGGGAGAGCAAAGGGCATGCTCTTGACGAAAGAGACTGATCATGTGCGTTTCATACCATCTGCAGCCTCGGAAGACAGAGAGAACTCTCCCTATGATCCTCACCAGGCTCTACGCCGGTCAGTAGATTTGAGCGCTGGGCCATATCCTCTTGGCAAAAGAAAGATCGAGATAGACCAACTACTTGATGATCTCCCACCTCGACATCACTGTAGCCGATTGAAAGATATATTTTCTAGTTCATTTGCTTCTGTAAGCCGTAATGTGTCACGAGCACTGCAATCATAGATTGACTTTGGTACCGCGGTTGTTCCATATTCTGCATGATCCCACCTTCAACAAGCAGTATGAAGTCTTCGAAAGGGCTCCGGAATCAATGTCTCTATCATGGATAGCCCTCCTAAATGCCATTGTCGGGACATCTGTCATGGCTTTGGGTCCGTCGAGTGGGCTTCTCAATGATCTCTCACGGAAGGAGCTTGTCACTGACTAAATTGCCGAGCTCTCCGAACGTTATCGTAGCGCAGCCTTCAAATGCTTGAAGGCAGATAACTACCTTTGGCAGTAGAATATAACCACGCTTCAGGCGCTGATCATTCTCATCTACAGTATCAATCACAGCCATGGCCAAACCTGGACGTTGCTCGGCATGGCCTACCATATTGCCCTTTCCTTGGGTTGTCACATCGACCCAAGCGAGTTCGACCTTGATATTATCAGATGTGAAGAGAGGCGCCGCTGCTGGGCTGGCATCATGATGCTATATATGATTCAAGCCATGTCCTTGGGTCGTTTGGGACCGGACCCATCAACTGCATCTGAAGGTGTTCAAATGCCTTCCGATCTAAACGACTCGGACTTGATCGCCGATGAATACATTCTGCCCATTACCTTCAACCGCCCATCACAAATGTCATACCTCCTTCTAAAGTTTCGCCTGTATGAGATCGCCGACGAAGTCTCTTCAATTGTTCGAACCTCTCTGCATACCCCCTCTTCTCTAATAAGCAGAGTGGACCAAAGAATACTCAATGAACAACGCAGTTGGCATGACAAGTATCTGTCACAATCGAGATTAGCTGCATTACCTACATATCATAGAGCACATCTCAATATTCTGCAAGGTTATTCGTATCAGTTGATTTTGATTCTTCACAACCACGCCTTGAGACGTTCCGTAGTCGACTCCCAACAATGCCGTCTATCAGCATCCAGAGTTGCGCATAGTGCAGAGAAGATACTGCATATACACACACCGGACTATTCACCAAGGACGAGTTTTCTCCATTCAGATGGTATCTTGGAGGCATCGGCAGCTTCCATGCGTACCATGCTGCTGTAGGTACAGGAGTGCGCTGAAAGATTCGAGGCACTCGCCGAAACAAGCATTAGCCCGGTTGAACTTTGCCTAGTTCATCTGATTGCATGAATAGAGCTGCAACCCCAGCCGTCGCTGCGATGATGGCTTCATGTTCGGTGAAGCCTAGGAGCTTCACAAAGTGCTCGAGATCCCGTGCATACGTTCCATGCGGTGTCCATGCAAACCCGTAGTCACCACCAGGCAAAACGACGATACCCCGGCGATGCATCTCCCGCAGCCCGGCAATAGCAATATCGAGTTCGCGTTTGTAGCCTGCTTTCTCGGCTGCTTCCCTGGGATAGCCAAATGCTTCCGCGTCATTCAGCGTACATACCAGCCAGTTGATCGCTGGAGCAACAATGTGTTTGGCCTTTGCTTGCTCAAGCATGTACATGCCTCTATCATCGATGTAAGAGGCGTGGTAGATTGTTTCGATTCCGTGTCTGATCGACATGATGACGGAGTCACGGGCACAAGCGTGTGAACACAGACGTTTTCCATGTTTGTGGGCCTCATCCACACATGCTTGGGTCTCCTCTTCGGTGAAGTAGCAGTCCTGGGCCGATCGTGTCTCCGTAATCTTCAGGCAGATGTTAGCTCCAAGTTCAAAAGGGTAAAAGATTGTACGGTTTCACTTGCTTCTTCGTCACTCATGCTCAATTTGATATTGTCAACTCCGAGCTGGACATGGTGTTTGATGACCTTCCGCATCTCTTCTGGCCCGTCTGCAAAAGCTGTGATTCCTCCAACGAGCTCGCCTCCCCGTCGCGCCATATCTTTCCCGTTAGCAAGATATCTGGGACCAGGTATGTCTCCAGCATTTATGGCATCTCAGATGACAACATCAAGTCTCTCTTTCGCAGACGCAGCGCCAAAACACATTGTGTAGCCAGAATCGAGAAAACATTGCGCACTCCGCATAGTCAGGAGTGTATGTTCCTCCACTCCCAAGGTTCCCGATTGCTCCAGATCACCACTATTCCAGGTAAGATGGGTGTAGGCGTCTCCCAAACCTGACATTAGTGTTCTGCCTTTTCCATAGAAGACCCTGACACCAACTTGCGCCCTGAGCTGTTCTACATCTGGTACTTGGCCCACCGCTGTAAATCGCTCCCCTTTTGTATAGCTATCAGCTCTACCTCTCGGTTAATCGTATGAAGCCTCGCAATGCTTATGAAACTTTAATCAAAACGTCTCCGCGGAACGGCTCCCTGCTAGAGGAATCAAGGATATTCACATCGAGAAAAAGTATTTTCGATTCCGGGTGTGGACCCGAGATTTCGTATCTTTTTGGTTGGAGGTGGTCTTCCCACTTGAGGTCCTTGATGGACTCGATGTTTCTAGGAGGCCCTCGATAAGGCTCTGGCGCCACATCGACTGACGGCCAGGGCCTACTGTCATGGCTAGTGCCAGAATCGGTTCGTTCAAGAGCCATGGTGCTATCACGGTAATGGAGGATAAGACTATGGAGTTCGGAGACACTGGCTCAGAGTCTACAATGTATGATCTCAAGAAAATATACCACACACATAAATGCATTTGATAAACCCCACGGCAGGCTAAGACGGATGGCGTTTTGAGGAATTAATTATTTTCTACCTATATGACACATTCTACATGGATCGTGAGTGTAGAATGAGGTTTCCCCGTAGACTGTACGACGACACTTCGGTTTCCGTCATCTCGGCCTACCCCGCGCTTAACCAGTTCTAACCTACTGGCCAGCCGTTTGTCTCCAAGGCCATTGCGCTTATTTCCCCGCTGTGTACCTCTTGTACGAGATTATCCTTTCGCTGGATCGATTGGCAGCCAGACATTGCGACCACGTTCTTTCTTTACCTGCAAGCGAGACTCGACATACGACATGGGGTGGCTGAGAGCCGTGCGCGATGAGACAACTGAGTTGAAGTCCAATCCGAATCGATCAAGCGTTGAAACGAAAGCAAATCTGGAATTGGACGAAGAACGTACCTTTTGTACTGAAAGGCTTCCCATCAGTGCATCTTTGCATCCGCAAGAGCTGCAGCCTCTTCCATTCGTCCCTCACGGTACCCCCGATTCTGAGCTGCCTTTTCTTTCCGCCGCGGAATTTTCTCTGACTGCTCAAAAATTCGCAAGCGATCAGGAAGAACAGTTGTACATTGTTGTGGATGAGATAGTGTACAATTGCATGCAATTCGTCCATGAACATCCAGGTGGTCCTTGAGTCATCAAGAACTTCAGCGGGCAAGATTGCTCATGGCAGTTTTGGAGATTTCATTCAGAAAAAATATGGAGGAATGGGGGAAGCCGCTGAGAGTTGCGCGGACAAAGGATGTAGGGAATAGATGGAAGGAGAGGCCGAGATGGGTTGGGTTGAGGAAGTTTGGCGCGATAGATGAAGGGGATTGGTGAATCATACACTTTCTCATCGTAGAAGCATTGGAGTTCGTAGCGGAGTTTATTGTTGATGTTTCTAAATCCATTGAACAGAAAGAAGGATGCCATATGATCGTGTATGGCAACAGGGAATGCAGAAATAAAACAACTCCACAATGTAATTATTGCTGCTGCTAACAGCTCCGACATACGGTAGTCAGTTGGAATCATTGCTCCTTTCCTGCGGCATGTTGCGAGTGGAACATATTTCCTAGTATCAGGCATGACCTTTGTACATGATGAGGAGAGATGGCCATTCTGTGCTAGTAACATATGCACCAACAGCCGGGAAAGACTCAAAGCAGTTGATTGATAGCCAAAGTTCTCACTTATTGACAGTGTCAAATATCTGCGCATAAAGCATGATGAAATTGCGCAGTATGCGACATGTGAAGTGACGTGGAAAAGGTGCTCTCTGAATGTCAAGCTACACGACCGATCGTCACTTTCTGACCTGGATTACATATCGAACACCTTCATACGTTGATTTTTCACTTGATACTAGCTTGACAATGGCTCCTCCTAGATCTCACGAGAAAAGCACGCGTGATTTACACAGTTGTCCGCCGCGCATTGAGCGACGCCAAGTCCGCAGCGGGAGCCCCGCAGTAGGTACGTACCCTCTCTGCTATCCCCGCCATCTCCGCGATTCTTCCTCCGTGGATCCACTACCCCTCCTCTTTATCTGTTCCACGTATGAGCGCAAATCCAGATAGCGTGTATTAGATGTGACATGTGCGAATGCGCGTCCCAGGCTTTATTAATTGAGTGATTAGACGGCAGCTTGCGTTGCCAACCCACAACCCTAGGATCGACCAGCAGGAAACGATAGATTTGCATTCCGAGCCATGCCTTCCACCAGTTCAGCAAATGGGTATAGGTCCCTAACGAACTATGTGTCTTTCCTAGATCTGGATACAGGGCGCAACCGCGTTGGTCATTATGATCTCGCGAATGGATCTATCCAGCCATTGGCCTTCTTGTCCGGAACGCCGCTAGACAACATCTACCAGGTGATTGAAATTGGCGAATCTAACATCATCCCTTCGGGCAAAACTTTACCAGCTTCCGCCATCAAGATCTCGCCACCCTTCACCGGCCGCGATATCTTGTGTGTTGGCAAAAACTATGCTGAACATGCGAAGGAGTTCAATAGCTCAGGCTTTGACAGCTCAGACAAAGTAGACACGCCGTCCCACCCTGTCATTTTCACCAAACGTTTCACTTCCATTATTGGAAATGGGGATGAAATCTTGCCGCATTTGGACTTCACGGAGACAGTTGACTATGAAGGCGAGATCGGTGTTGTCGTTGGCAAAGCTGGATTTCGCATATCAGAAGAAAGCGCAATGGACCACGTATGGGGCTACACAATTGTCAATGACGTGACGGCGCGTGAGCGTCAAAGAGACCACAAGCAGTTTTATATTGGAAAGTCTCCCGACACATTCTGCCCCATGGTAAGTTGATGTGTGCTACTAGGTGTGTTCAAGCAACGCCTGACTTAGAATGACAGGGACCGATTGCAGTACCAGCATCCAAGCTAGATAAGGTATTGCAGCTGGAGACGTACGTCAATGGGGAGCTGCGACAGAAAGCCACAACAAAGGACCTGATCTTTTCCATTCCTCATCTGATCAAGACCATGTCCGAAGGGCAAACACTCATGCCGGGCGATGTTCTTGCCACCGGAACAGTAAGTGCATTCGATGATA